TCCAAAGTGCCACCCCTAGGCTCGTCTCCTAAACAGCCCAGCCATACCATCTTGTCGGCTCTTGCGGGAGAGAGAGAGAGAGAGAGAGAGAAAAAAAGAGAGAGAGAGAGAGAGAGCGCCATGCACGTCAAAGGTGCGTTGGCAGTAATGTACAAACTGTAATCACATTGATATATGCGTGCGAAACGCAAAAACTACGTGCCGCGCGACGCCAAATACTGGCGCTCCCTTGCCAGATTTGACACAGCATGTCAGCATCGCCGGCTGCCTTGCAAGCCATGGCGTATACATTGCGTTTCCGCGTGTTCTCCGGCCGGCCGTGTTTCCGGCGACCTCCCAAGCGGGAAAGCGAGAATGACCCGGGGGCGAAAATGCAGCGTCGGACGGCGCTGTCGTCTGGCAGCTAGGCCGCCTTACCCAGCAGCGCAAGCTGCCGGTATGCTAACTGGCTGCTTAATTTCTGACAGCTGCACTGGGCGAAGACGGCATCATTCGAAACACGGCTAAAGAACGAGTGCGCTATGCCAGCCACTTTGCGGAGGCAGGGCGCTTGGAAAGCATCCAGTTTTCGGAGTTCTGCTTGGCGCAGCCACAGAGTGTGCAAGCAATACATACGGCCAGATACTACGCAAGGCTGGAAAACCAAGACCTTCTTGGAAAGTGGAAGCTTCGCATGCTTCTAATGTTTGCACAAACTGTAGAATTGCCTGTGTGCAATGCCGATCCTTCTGCTCAGCTCAGGGCCGCTGCCGCCGTCGGCGTTCAGTAGCCCGCCCAAGTAGATCACACTGTCCCTCTGCGGAATTGTTGACCCGTCTGGTCGGGCAATATGCGTCTCGCATCACGCGGACAGGACCTCGAGCTTGCCCCAATTGAACCCCAATCTATAATTTCTCCCGGCCTGGCGCACGCACTCCATCAGCTGGTAGACGAACCTTCTTCTGCTCCGACAATTATGGCGTCGTCGGCGCACATGAGCTCGCTGACCGGAATTGAGTTGGATTGCAATATCCCGTGAACAGCAAAGCTCCGCCTCGCCATCGCGATCGAGAACAACAAAATAATAATGGGCACCCATGCGATATGCCGAACACCTGCGGCCAATATTCGGAAGTTGAGCCGGCATCCTGGACGCGGAAGCTCCTGTCGTTGTAGATTCCCTTCGCAGCGGCGGCGAAGTGCTGGGGAAGCCGAAGCGGACTAACGCCTGCAGGAGGCTATCTGGCGACGCGCTGCCGAATGCTTTAGCCCAGTCGAGCGCGAGAGGAAACCACCTTCCAGCCGCTGTGTCCACAGTGTCCTCGATCGGCCGCCGTGCGACGAACAGTGCGCCGGCCGTTCTGCTACCAGATCGGAATCCAAACTGCGTTCCACAAATCCGGTCCTCGGCGCCCGCGCTCTTTCCGCTCGCAAGCAAGATCGCGGCGTAGAGCTTGTGCCAGATGGGTAAATGTGATATCGGCCTGTAGTTCTCGCACTCGGCGACGTCGCCTTTCTTGAAGATATCCGCGGCAATCGCATCGTGCCAGGCGTCGGGCACAGACGCGCCCGTCCAACACCGATTGCATAGCAGAACGGCCCACTCGCATGCTGGTGTGTCTGAGCTGCTTATTGGTATCCAAAACTCAGCTGGGGCGCTGTCGTTGCCTGACGCGCGATTCCGTTTCTGCGCGCGTGCTGCCGCGCGCACTTCCGCCTTGGTAATCGGGCCTGCCTGCGCTGGTAGCTGGGGCCCCAATGGTTCCGGATCGTCCACGGCAGTGACCGGCCGCGCGGCCCATTGCATTGCAGCGAAGTGCTCGGCCAGAGTCTGGACCCGCTCGTCGCAATCAACTTCTCAGCCGCGTAATTCCCGCAATCGCCCTTGGGTGGCGCCGCGGGGCTTCCGGAACTTGCGCACCTGGTCCCAGTCGCCGTTCTCCAACAGTCCGTAGAACCAGTGCTCCTTGTCCTTCTTGATGGATGCTCTGATCTTTCCGTGGAAACGTTTCTCCATCGCTGAATCCCCTTGTCGTCTCGCCTCGTTCCGCCTGGTGAGTGGCGCTGCAAACCCGCGGCTGCTTTAGTCGTTCCGCCTCTCGTGGGAGGCATTCTGCGGCAACAGCGAAAGCATTGACCACGGTATCATGTAAGCTGTCCAAAGATTGGTGCTGGCACACTGCGGGCACATGGCTGGTGAAAGTATCAGCAAACAAATGATGGCATGCAGCGCTGGCCAATGCTAACAGGTCTGGTTTCGAGTCCTCCTCGTGCTTCGATTTCGGAATATCTACGCGCACACGGCATGGCAACAGAAAGTGATGCGAAACGAATGCATAATCCGGGCTGCTCCACACGCCTGCAACCAGATTCATGCAGTCCGCGTCGCAAAAAAAATCGTTTTGACCGAAATGTTGCGGCACAGCCGGATCTCATGGATGGACTCCCACACTGTAGCACGTGATCTGGTTATCCGCGGAACGGTCGAAGAACGCGTTGGCGACAGCCAGCCCCTCTCTCTCTCGCATAACTCCATGGGCAGGCTTCGGTTCGACAGAGGGTTGTGCTGAGCCTGCGGGTATCCGCAGATGTGGTCTCCCAGAATCAACTCCTCTCCCCCGAATCGCCTGTGCAGCCTGGCGTTAAAGTCTCCCAACACCAAGACATGCCCATGTCCGGACGTCCTAGCAATAATACAGCCCAGCTGATTGTAATAGTCTTGCCTCTCATCGCCCAGCTTCCCATTGTGAGGGGCGTATATGCTGAAGATCGGCCCCTTTCATCCCCGAGCACGAAGCTTCAAATACGAAATTCTCTCGCCCATCATCTTGAATCCAATGACGCTCTTGCGAGCCCGCGGCGATACGAGAAAACCAATTCCAGCTGTCTCATCGGAGCCAGGGCTTCCAGGTAGAACGACCAAAAACCCACGTTCGGTCGCAAATAAACGGACTCGTGTTTGTGAGTCTCTTGGATGGCGAGCACGTCGATGCACAGCTTCTCCATGTAGATCTGCAGTTCCTCCTCCTTCGCCTCCGTCATGCCCTTTGCGTTCCACGAACCGATGACGTCATCCACTGCACAGGGGTGCAGGCGCCCTCCTCGGAAATCAGCCCCTCCTAGTCCAGTGCTGGCGTTGCCTTGCCGTGCTCTGGTCGCGTCTTGAATGCACTCATGAAATCTTAATCGAAATATGGGAGCCGTGAGGTTGACCGCGGGTGAAACAATTGTGTTTGGTATTTCCTATTCTGGATGGCGCCCTGTGGCCACCTTCGACAAGCCTTTGACGCCGCCCTTCGATCCCTTCATGCCGGCCGCTGCCTTTGCGACCAACTGGTTCGACCTGTCCAGGAGATCCACGACCTCGGGGCTTGTGCGAAGCTCCTCCCACCCAGCCCATTCCCCGTGCCACTGGTGGGTCACACGATCAGGGAACACATGAGTAATCCGTGCGAGCTCGCCGCCCACTGTCACCGTGTAAGGAGCAGAATCGTTGACGGACACTGTGAAGGGAATGTTCCATGCCTTTTTGAATATGTGTTTGAATCCGAGACAGAAGTTCCTTGCCGCCCTTTCGGTGATAGGGCGGTCTTGGTTGGCCCACACGTTTGTCCCACCCCATTGCAATCTCGTCCTCCGCACGACGTCCACGGCGGCATTCCTCTCCAGAGAGTTCCGGAACTCCGCGAATATCACTCCAACGAAATCCCCCTTCGTGTAGGTCTTGGTCGGGATGGGGGCCTTCAAGTACGTCAGCTTCTCCTGCAACCACTCCTCGGCCTTCGAGAGGGTGTCGAAGCTGGCGATGTTGCCGACGACCATGGTCACTGAGCGCTTCTCTGCGCTCGGATCGCCCGCGGATTGCGTGCAGACTGGAGTCTGCTGCGTGCTCTCCTGCGTCGTGGCCTCCTTGATGTAGTCCTTGATATTGGTGTCAAGCTCCTGGGGGGCGTAGGTCGGCTTATCCTTCAGCAGCTCGTGCACGTCTTCGAGTTTCTCCACCCGTGCTTCGATATCGAGAATGGCAGTCTCCACGTGGTCTATGCGGCCAGCCAGCGTCGCTCCGATGCTCGTGACCTTGGCATCGAGCTTGCCGAGTTCTGCGCGCAGGCTCTTGACCACTGACGTCACAGGTGACAGCTGCTCCTGCAGGAGGCTACCGATGCCAACCATGGTCACGTCGTCACGAGACTTCCGACAGGAGTGCCAGCCATGCGGGTATTCCCAGTCTTCGCAGGTGGTGTGGGAGACATCATGGCATCTAACTCCTGCTCAAGATTCCGCGGCGATCTGGCCATCGGCGCCGACATGGTGCGCCGTGGTATCAGAGGGTAGGGGAAAGGGAACGGAATTGTGAATGTGAGTGTAAGTAAGTAGACAGGGCGCTTCCCTTGAGTGTAAGTAAGTAGACGGCTCTTGCGGAGCGACACTGAATCGACGCTAATCGACGCTCATCGACGCTAAATCGACGCTAATCGACGCGAAATCGGCGCTATCTCATCGACTCCCAGATGCGAATCGACGCTAAAGACGGAAGTCAAAGGGTATACCAGGCGCCCATGATCTCTGCTACCGAAAGAGGAGGAGGAGGAGGAGGAGGAGGAGGAGGAGGAGGAGGACGAGACAGCAATCACTACGCGCAGGCAGCAAGACGGCCAGCGACGAACAACAAATGCGAAACCGGAAGCCGCATAGGATCCTCTTCAGGGGTCGGCGGAATGGCGGGGTCGGGATTGGGGGCATGGCGTTGCGGGGCAGGAGGTGGCGGCATGCAGACCGGAAAATGGGGAGCAAATGAACAGGAGATGAGAGCATACATAGAGAACAGAAAATCCCCCCCATAACAAGCACCCCGACAAGCGAAGCCGTTAGTAAACGCACCCAAGGAAGGAATCGAACAGGGCAGGGCTGTTTAATAAAGGCCCAAGGCCGTTTAGTAAACGCCAATTGTCGGGATCGGGGTGGCATTTCCTCCCCTGAATACAGAGAAGGAGATCGGGTGCGCAAAGAGATGGGAGTACCATCCGAAGCCGCAGGCGTGCGCGGAGTTGTTGAAGAACGTCAGGTCCGTCTGCTGGCTGGCCACGCCGTCCAATTTCCTGACGCGCCAGCCGCGGGCGGCGCTGACGGCGAGGTTCGAGCGGTGCCAGCCTGTGAAACCAGGCAGCCAGAAGCCCGCCGGGGTGTCGTCGTCGTCCAGCAACAGGTGGTGCGGGAGCGGCGCCACTGCCAAGTTGTGCTCGAAGAGAGCGTAGTGCTCCTGGCCAGTCTCGGTGAAGAACATGTGGCCGCGCACGTGGTAGGCCACGTTGTGCTGCACCGTGGCGTAGTCCGTGCTGTGGACCACCACGGCCCGCTGGAAGGTGTCGTGGTAGGAGTTGTTCCGCAGGTAGGCGATGTCCATCACGTCCACGTTGCGGCCCGACGAGAGCACGTGCCAGTGCGAGGAGTACCTTTGGCACGAGAGAAACGGGTCCCGAGGGAGCCGTGTCCTGCCCCCAGGGCCTCCCCACCCAGGACCGGGTCTTCGCCCCGAAGCGCTATTTTCTGGCTGCCCCGGTTCTGCTGCATCTTCGGGGGGCCTCCTCTGTCCCCTCTCGGCCCCATCCGCGTCGAATCGGTGTCGAACCCATGCCGGACTCGTCAGATCCGTGTCGAACGCGTGTCGAATCCGCGTCGAGTCTACGCCAAACCCGCCTCGAGGCCGCATCGAGCCCGCGTTGATTACAAGAAAAGACACCAATTTTGGGAACAAGCGAGGTCCCCCGAAGACGCAACGAAACCCCGAGGCCCGTGGAGGGCCCCGCGAGGGGCAGTGAGGGGCCCCGGCCCTCAGGCCCCGTGCCCGCAGGACCCGCAGAAGGCCACACTCGTAGGACGTGCCTCTGTGGGAGGCGCGCGCTCGACCCGAACACACACACACAGACACACACACACACATACATATATACATATATTTATATATACACACATACATATATATATATATGTATATACAAATGTAAATATAACATTTCACAAAAGAAAAACCCAATCAATGGATGGCTTTCGCTGAGAAAATCGACCGGGAACCCGGGAGCCCGGAAACCCAGAACAAACCGAAATGGGCCCGGAACCAATCACCGGGAACCCGGGAACCCGGGACCGGGGACCCGGGAAACCAGCCAGCTGCCAAAGTCGGCGGGAAATGTTTGGCAACCCTTTCGAAAGGATTGCGGACGCCACGACAATGGACATCCTAACAATCCTATCATTGAATTTACAAGGTGTTTAAACGGTGTAAAACATGGTACGAACATGTTTCAAAAAAGTTTTGGCATGTTTGAAAACATGTTTGAAACATGCTGTAGACATCTGGAAATTGTTTGGCAGCATGCTTCCTCTCCAGCAATCGACGTCCGCAGCGCCAGGACCCCTTCCGTGCAGGCACGGATTGGGGACAACAACAGGCTGCAGTGCCTCGCCGCCCGAGCGGCATGGCCAGAGAGCAGCCCTCCGCGGAGCTCGTGCGCTGCCAGGGCGAGCTTCGAGCCTGTGCGTCGCCGTTGTTAGGGGGCGACGGCACCTCGTGTGCGCGCGTTTGGGCGGTGCCAGTCGGGCGACCGTTCTCTCATTCAGCGCTTCGACATTGGGCGGAATGGGGGGGGGGGCCGCAGATCCAACGTGTTTAAAAATCAAAACAGAGGTTTTTTGCAATGTTCGGCCTCGAAGGGCCCTCGCCGGGCCCCGGGACTCTCAAAAACAACTCAGGATGAAAAACCGGTCCTGGGGAGTGGGTCGAGATTTCCAGGGACCCCGTGTTGACAAAATCACGACATCGGATCTCTGGGTTCGACATTGGCGTTGGTCGGAGGAGGGAGGGGGGGGGTCTGGCTCTGGATCTCTGCCTTCTGCAGCTGTTCGCAGCAGTGAGTCATGGGGGGGGGAGTGTCCACCTGCTCGAAACGAGCGCCAAAACCAGCCAAGATCCACTCCTGGGGGGAGTGGGGGGAGGGGGGGTGCTAGGGCCCGAGCCGATCGGCAGAGCAATGAATAAGAACACGGTCGCCGTCGTATACGCATATTTGGGTGGTGCCAATCAGGGCCAATCTCTTTCATGGCGGAGTGCCTCCCCAGATTCGCCGCCTGCCCGGTCCGGAACAGCTCGGTGTTCTCGATGCGCAGCTGACCGCCCATGAAGGCGCCGATGTGGGCGCCGAACATGTAGGCGTTCCCGTGCCTCTCGGATGCGTCGTCGCCCTGGACCTTCACGTTGCGCGTCAGCAGCCCGACAGCGGCCCGGAGGTCGGTCGGCGTGGTGTTTTGGTGGAAGTACCACTCTCCGATGTGCTCGTGCTGCAGTGGCTCCTCGACCTCCAGGGCGAAGCCGCCGTGGCTCACCGACCTCACCGTGAGCACCTCTCGGGACCCACCAAAGCGGGGGTGACCCTGAGAGAGGGCGTGAGTTCGATCCGTTGGTGCACCGACCTGCCGCACACAGATGCCCCCCACATGCCCAACCTATCGGGCATCTGTTTCGGGCGGCTCGGTGCAATTAGCCTGGCGAAGGACCCAACCATATGCAGCTGCGAGTACCGCGCGGATATGAGACGAAGGAGGGGGCACGCAAACTAGGCCCCTCTTCTCACAGGCACCGCGCCACTGCATGGACGAGGCACAGGGCAGCGCGGGCAGGAGGTGGCGGGCGGAGGAGGAGAGCTCACTGGGGCGAGCCAACACATCAGTATCATCATCGCATCATGAGACCTGTTACTGGGCACGCAGGAAGAGGTGACGGAGACGCCGTGTAGATGTCGAAGGCAGGTCAGCAGCGGCAGAAACGAGACGGGGAAGCGCGCGGTCAAGAAGCGATGGGGAGCAGGAGGAGTGAGAGACGAGGGGAGACGTTTTTGCCTCCAGACCGACAGCGGGCCACGCAGAATGCAGCGCGCAGGCGGCGCCGCGCGAAAGTGCCTGGGAAGTCCTCGCGGACGCAGTCTGGTCATCCCGGGGGAATCCCATCGACGCGCGGGGGTTGTCCACTGCGACTCCGAGTCAACGGATAGCACCCCCGCACTGCGTGGCGAGGCGTGCGAAAATGGCGCGATCTGGGTGAAATCCCCCGACAGGCGCCGGTCATCCTCTGGCGAGAAATCCCGACGACGAGCTGGGGTCATCCCAGCGTCAGCGACAACTAGCGCGCGCCGCTGGCTCGTGCGGGGCCGCTCCCCAGGTCAGGCCTCGCGGATGAACTCGCTGAAGCCCAGCTCTCTGGCGAGGGCCGTCGCCTCCCTCCTGCACCGCTTCGTGCGCGCTGCAAACTGCTCCAGCTGCTTCCGCAAGCCCTCCGGCGGCCCTGCCAGGAAGAACTCGATGAGCGGCGCCCGCATGAGCAGGAGATCCTCGTGGCGCGTGGCGCGCGAGAGCAGCACGTAGAGCTCCAGCCACCAGTCGTCGTCCTCCTTCTTGCCGTTCCCGACCTCGTGGCGGCCGCAGTCCAGGATCACGCCTGGGCCGCAGCCATTTGGGCCTTCGGTGGAGCTCCCCATGGGGCCACGAAGCGTGTAAGGGGTGTGCCAAATATGGGGTGGCGGCGACATGCGGACGCAGCCATTTGGGCCTTAGATGGAGCTCCCTATGGGGCCACGAAACGTGTGAGGGGTGTGCCAAAATTGGGCGGCGGCATGCGGACGCAGCCATTTGGGCCTTCGGTGGAGCTCCCCATGGGGCCACGAAACGTGTGAGGGGTGTGCCAAAATTGGGCGGGCGGCGGCATGCGGACGCAGCCACTTGGGCCTTAGATGGAGCTCCCTATGGGGCCACGAAACGTGTGAGGGGTGTGCCAAAATTGGGCGGCGGCGGCATGCGGACGCAGCCATTTGGGCCTTCGGTGGAGCTCCCCATGGGGCCACGAAACGTGTAAGGGGTGTGCCAAAAATGGGGTGGCGGCGGCATGCGGACGCAGCCATTTGGGCCTTAGATGGAGCTCCCTATGGGGCCACGAAACGTGTGAGGGGTGTGCCAAAATTGGGCGGCGGCGGCATGCGGACGCAGCCATTTGGGCCTTCGGTGGAGCTCCCCATGGGGCCACGAAACGTGTGAGGGGTGTGCCAAAATTGGGCGGGCGGCGGCATGCGGACGCAGCCATTTGGGCCTTAGATGGAGCTCCCTATGGGGCCACGAAACGTGTGAGGGGTGTGCCAAAATTGGGTGGCGGCGGCATGCGGACGCAGCCATTTGGGCCTTAGTGGAGCTCCCTATGGGGCCACGAAACGTGTGAGGGGTGTGCCAAAATTGGGTGGCGGCGGCATGCGGACGCAGCCATTTGGGCCTTCGGTGGAGCTCCCTATGGGGCCACGAAACGTGTGAGGGGTGTGCCGATGATGATGATGATGATGATGATGATGATGATGATGATGATGATGATGATGATGATGATGATGATGATGATGATGATGATGATGATGATGATGATGGTGATGATGATGACCGACAACCACGATGTGGATGATGATGATGACGATACTCATGATGATGAGCATGATGAGGATGGTGATGATGATGGGAGGAGGGGGGAGGGGGCAGCGGGAGGAGGAACGCGGGGCACCGTCTCTTCAAAACGAGGACCCAACACCACAGGATGGTTGGGAAACACTGATGGCACTCCACCCCCGCAGAAACCGACCGCACTCCCACCCCCCAGAGCACACACCCCCTCTGCCGGATCCCGAACCTCGTCGCTGGCGCTCCGCAGCGACGTCGTCAGGACAACCTTGGCGCCCACGTCCCAGTCCACGGGCTCCTCCAGCTGCAGCAGCGTGCTGCCCGCCGGCGCGGTGGCCACGAGCCTCGTCCACGACGTCTGCGGGCGGCCGTGCAGGTCGAGCTTCCCCACGGACCGGACCCCGCAGACGTCCGAGACCGCGGTGAAGCCCGAGCTCGTCAGGCGGAGGCCCTGCGTGGAGCAGCCCGTGTGCAGCCCGCCCAGGTTCGTGACCGCGAGCATCTTGGCCCCGATGAACGGCAGCTCGATCGTCGACCACCGGTCGCCGTGGAGCGTGATCGTCGCCTCGTGCTGTGCTGATCCCAGCGTGCTCAAGGGCCACATCCCAGAAATCACTTCGAGCACCCAGAACAAGTGTCGAACGAGTGTCGAAACAGTGTCGAAACAGTGTCGGGCGAGTGTCTCCCAGGGCCCGACACGTGAACACCCTGGAGTTTTGGGGTACTTCTTTCTGGTGCTCGAAATTCTTGCTGGTGCTCAAGGCCACAGTAGCTTGGAACATCATAAGCCTTGTGCAGGAAAGGGTCCTCCTCGGTCCCGACGGAGAAGCTGCCGCCCGCCACCCAGATGTACGTGGCGTTGAAGGTGAGGTCCCGCCTGCCCACCAGCCCCTCCCCGGGGAAACCACGAGGTGCCGACACCGGTGCTCCCCGGACCTCTCCTGGGGCCCGTTCTGCCCAGGATCTCAGGGCGAACCCGGCGGCGGCGACGAGATCCTCCCAGGAGGCCCAAAAAGGGAAAAACGAGGGAAGGCTACACGTTGCTCATTTCAAATCCTGCTCATTTCTACTTGTGCTCGTTTCTAATTGTTCCTGGCCCCCTGGTGGCCAGGAAGAGGCCCAGGATGGAAGAATTAGAGATGAAAGGATCTCGGCCCCCCAAAAAATCAAAGAGCTTTCGAAGAATTAGGAATGCACAAAGTGTAGAGGCGTGGGTATACCTTTTCCCCCCCGACTCCCCAGGCCACCCGCAGTCAGCAGCCCCCGCTCAGCAGCACTCCACCCAGCGGCCCACTGCGCAGCTTCGGGGATGGACAGACCCCCCTTTAGTAAAACGTGGTTTTAGTGAAAACGACCCGAGGCCCAAACCTGGCGGGCGCAAGCCTGGAAAATGACGGCCACGGCGCCATCTCGAGAACCGAAAACAGACAATTCACCAATCGACGTGTCACTGTTGGGGGCTCTGTCCACCCCCGACAGCGGCCCCCTGCCCAGCAACGCCCTGCGCCCCCCTGCCCGGCATATCCCCTTGGCCCAGCGCCCCCCGCCCGAGCGTGCCTGCCCCGCGGTCCTCCCCTCCCCAGCAGCCCCTGCCAGGAAGCCCCCTGCCCAGTCGCCCCCCTACCCAGCTGCCAGCTGCCCCCCCCCCCCCCCCAAGCTGTCCCCCCCTCCCCTCCGGTCAAACTCCAGCACGCCGCTGACGATGACGAGGAACAGCTTGGGCGAGTCTACGTCCAGCAAGATTGCCTGACCCTCGGGCACGATGACGGAGTCCCCGTCGAATGGCGGCTCGGAGTCGAGCCAACTACGCACGTCGCTCCACCTGGGGGTGCAGCCGTGGGCCATTTGACCATGTGGCCGTCGGGGCTGTGTGTTGGCCACCGCAGGGAGTGCTGCAATGGCAATTGCGCCGCACTGGCTGCCGCAGGGAATCTTCGAATGGCGGTGGCACTGCAGTGACTCCCGCGGGAAGCACCGCACTGGCGGACGCCAGCACCATGCTCTCTGGCACGCTGCGGCGGAACAGGATGGCGAGTGCTGTCCGGTAGGGTTCCTGCAGGTCTTCAACGGACCCCCCCCCTCCAGGTCACGGAGCCCAGACTCCCGACGTCGTGATTTTGTTGCCACAGCTTCGACCCCCAAAGGTCTGGACCCCTTCCCCAGGAACGGCTTTCGAGCAGGGACCGACCGTCCCGGCATTCCTGCAGTCCTACCACGACATGTCCTTAGAACCCAATCATGTCTTACTGACAAAAACGGTGTCCTCTGAGTATTAACCTGACGTGTGAAAACAGGACCCTCCCAGCCAGAAATGCTCCGAGAACGTCTCGCGGGAATCGCAAGAGGTTCCCAAAACATTGCCTGACGGGGCTGCCGGCGAGCCAGGACGCCTCGCCACTGCTCGAGGCTCTTCGCCCCGAGGCGTGGCCCCGACGGCCCCGGGGCCGCGGCGAGGGCCCCGGCAGGCCGGAGACAGCGAGCAACGAGCCTCCCCGCCCCCGCGTGCTCTTTTGTTGTTGTTCCTCCTCGCCCCCGCCGGGGGGGTCTGGGCCCCCCCCCGTCCTCCAGGGCCCCCCCCCGTCCCCCGTCCTCCCAGGGCCTCCCTGCCAGGTCATGCTCTGAGGACGTGTCGTGGAGACCACAGGGAGGTTCTCAGAGCACTGTCTGGTAGGCCCATGGGCACGCCAAGGCGCTTCGCCACTGCTTGAGGGGGGGGGGGCTGCTTCCAGGGCGGCCGAGGCAGCCCGCCCAGGTCGCCGCCGGTGCCCGTGCCTCCAAGGCGGCACGGGGCCGCCCCCGCGAGGGGCTAGCAGGACGGCTTGCAGAGGCCCCCTACACGAAAGAACCAGGAGGGCTCCCATGGGAGCCCTCCTGGTCTTCCCTGCCCACATGCTGTCGAACACTGGAGATACTGGGAGTCCTGCTCTTCCCTGGCCCCGCATGGGCTCCCATGGGAGCCTCCCTGCTCAAATACTGGAAGTCCTCTGCAGAGGACTTCCAAGATTCGAGCAGGGACCGACCGTCCCGGCAGTTCTATAGGCCTACCACGACATGTTCTCAGAACCCAGAAATTTTCCAAGGACAAGGACAATGCTCTTAGAACGTATTCCCGATGTGTTAAAACAAGACGGTCCCAGACAGAAATGTTCTAAGAACACTTCGTGCAAACCACAAAAAGTTCTTAGAACATTGTTTGGTAGGCCTATAGGCACGCCAGGACGCTTCGCCACTGCTTGAAGTATGTTTCGAAGAGGTCGAAGTCAAGACCTCCCCGTCGGCGGTTGAAAAAGACGTTCGCGCCCGCACCTCTTGGGGGCATCCGCTGGTCCACGACGGCCCGATGGCTTCCAAGACGATCCCAAGATGACCCAAGGAAGCTCCAAGACGGCTCAAAAGACTAGCAAGCTGGTCCTGAAGCCCCGAGACGGCCCAGAGAGGACCTGGAAACAGAATCCGAAGGCGCCAGAGGGCTTAAAAATGCATACTGAGTCAGCCCAATGCGCCTCCAAGACGCCCAGAGGCACCCCTAAGAAGCCCCCGATAGGCCCCCGGGGCCCCTCCAACAGGCCCCGACGAGGCCAGGGGAGGGGCTCCTCGAAAGCTCCTGTGCATTGCCTCCTCGTGCCACGAGAAGGCGAGAAACAAGGGAAGCACTCCTCCTCCTCCTCCTCCTCCTCCTCCTCCTCCTCCTCCTCCTCCTCAGGGGAGGTGGATGGATAAATACAAACGGAGAAGACGGCGCCGAAACTGAGGAGAGACTCACCGAGGCGAAGCGGAAGAGCACGTTCATCAAGGGGCCCTGGGACACACAAATAAATATACACAAATAAAAGGATTCCCCATATTCTCATATATATATATAAAAATATATAAATATATTCTCGGTTTTTGTCTTCCCGCCCAATTCCCATATTCTCCCATATTTTTGAGGGAATCGACGATTAATTGTGTCTGTGTGTTTTTCCCCCTCCTAAGTCAATGGGCGCGGCTCCCCCATATGCCTCGGGACACGCAGCGGCTCCCTGTTTGCTCCTCGACCGGTCGTCCCCAAGGGTGCTGGGCGGGCACGGTGGCCAAGCCTGCGGCAGGCCGATGGGGGAGGGGGAGGGGGAGGAGGAGGGAGGATGAGGAGGAGTGAGGGGGAGGAGGAGGAAGAGGAGGAGGAGGGAGGAGGAGGAGGAGGAGGAGGAGGAGGAGGAGGAGGAGGAGGAGGAGGAGGAGGAGGAGGAGGAGGAGGAAGAAGAGCGAGGAGGAGGGAGGAGGACGAGGCTGGGAAGCACCGGCGCGGGGCATGGGCGGCCCTGGCTCTGGGAACGTGCGCGCCTGGCACTGGGTGCGGCCCTGGGCGAGGCCGGCTCCTGGCCCTGAGCTGTGCTGGCTCTGGGTCGAAGCCGGGCCTGCCCCCCCTACGAGGGGGGGACTTTGGGCGAGAAATCGGCAATACCCAGAAGATACGCCAAACATACAGTCGGGGCGTTGACCTAAGGAACCCTAAATAAGGCCCCTTTTTACCATAAGTTAAACTTCGATTTCCGATCGGAAACATAAGGAAACCCTGAGGCAAGCTGTGAAACACTTAGGGAACGCGGGAGCCCCTCCCCAACGAAAAGGGTTCCTTCTTCAGGGCCCCGACTGTATGCAGAAATGGTCCAAGAGATCGTCCCCTGACTGTGTTTTGTTAAAAACTATTTTTGCATACCCCTCCCGTGCAGGGACAGGCCCGACGTGACTCGGGGCCTGGGTGGCAGCTGGCGCATCGAGTGTGGGCGGCGTCTGCCGCTGGGCGGGTGGGGCGCCGCTGGCACCGCTGGCCACGGGCGGCCACGCGCCCCGAGCACGAGGCCCCACGGGCGCCGCCGAAGGCGCGGGCAGCGGCGCAGACGTGAGCTGTGGGCTTACGTCGGGCCTGTCCCTCTACAGGGGGGAAATCCAAAGATAGTCAACACAAATATTACAGGGAAGAGTTTGGGAGTATCTTTTGACGATCTGGGGCTCTTTTTGGACTCTTGTTTTCATTTTTCGTCCAGAATGCACAGGTCCCACTTAACTTTAGGCGCTCCCCGCGGATTTCTTGGATCTGCGCTGGACCCCCCTCCCTGGCGCGCGGAGTGCGCCAGGGGCGGCGCCGGAGGCGCCGCCAGATCGGCCCAGGCGCGGACCCAAGATTCCCGCGTGGAGCGTCGAGAGCTTATGCTTATAGCGTGCTTTCGCCTTCGCCATAGGTGGCCCCCCTGGCGCTGGGCATGGACGCCCGCCCGCGTCGGGCATGCGCGGCCCCTGGCCCTCCTGCGGGTGGAGCAGTGGCTAGTGGCACCTGTTTTGAGTGCAGCGTCTCGGTTGGTCCCGGCAGAGGCTACAAGGCTCGTGCCAGTCGTATCAGCCTTGCAGGCGCACGCTAGCTAGGCAGTGTATGCAGCTAGCCTAAATTTTCACGCCACCAAGTGTTGGGCGCCCGAGTTATCCGGGGTAACTCGGGTCCGGGGTAACTCGGGTTTGGATGCCCGAAAAACGAACCCGAGTTAGCCCTGACCCGAGTTACGCCTGATGATTCGGGGCTCTGTGTTACCCTGCTTGCAGAGCTTAGCTTGGCGGCGCACACCGTGAAAAAGCCCCCTGGCTCTCCTCGCGCCCGCGGCGCCCATGCCCGGGCACCGGCGGGCGCCCGTGCCCGGCGCCCGCCGCTCGCAGGCGCAGGGCCAGCGACGCCCCGCGCCCAGTGTGAAGCCGGGCGTGTCCCCCCCTACCAGGGGGATTTTGGATGAAAAATTGAGGATGCACTCAAACAGTATCCCCAACTGGTCGGACCATACCCCCAAAAAATAGTCCCCAGACTATTTTTTGACTATTCTTGGATGTCCCTCCTGCAGAGGGACAGGCCCGACTTGAGCCCAGGGCCGCTGCGACTGTCCGCACCCAGGTGCCAGCGGCCGCCCCTCCTGCGGATCCCCTGCGCCCGCGCGGCAGTCCACACGCAGTGTGTACGCTGCCACGCGGGCGTTCCGCCGACGTGCCGCCCCGTGTGGGAGCCAGTGCGGTGCCCCTGCCATTGCAAAGCCCTGGTCGGGAGACGCAGTGCCACCGCCACTGCAGTGCGCACGCCCTGCAGGTGAGCCAGTGCACTGACGCTTCTGGAGCTGCCCCGACAGCCACACCGACGATCGTCAACTGGTGTTTCCTGGCCACCTGTCAATGTATCGAAAGTGTCGGAACATTGTCTGGTTGGTCTCATTTCCTGGGCCGACGATTGTGGCATAGCCCTTCCCGGCTACCCACACTGTTGTAGACGCTGGATTGATAGCCCCGTCACGCGCAGCGGTCAAGCACACCGCCTGCGTGTCGTTCACGGAGGTGACCTCGCAAGCGTAACCGTTCAGGAACACCCTGACAAGCGCGGGGTCGGCCGTGGGGGCATCTGACACCAAGGGCATCAGGCCGGAGCCACTCAACGTCACCAGCGTGCCTCCCCTCGCAGAGCCGCTGGTCGGCGACAGCGACATCAGCAGCGGAGTGCGCTCAACCTCGTGGACGATCTCCATGAACGTGGGCACGGGCACGCTGGCCTCCGACGCCAGCGGGTGCAGGACGTGTCCGATGGAGACGTTGCAGACGCCGGAGTCGTCCGCCTCCAACAGCACCCCGCTGAAGCGCGCGCCGCGCATCAACTCCCCTGGGCTGTTGCATATGCTGGGGAGCAGTCGCACTCGGAACGCTTGCGCCAGCACCCCCTCTGTGCCGAACACGTTCCAACCCTGCGCAATGGTTTGCCCGGTGACCTCGGCCTCGGTGAGGCTCGCGACGGTGATCCAGTCGGAGTCGTTCAAGAGGCTCCGCACCTCGAACACGGTCTCGGTGGCCAGCTCTCTCTGGTTCGGGTCGGTCGCGGGAAAGATGCTCACGGTCTGGAGGCGCGCCACCTGGTGCGAGGGGAGCTCGAAGGCGAACCAGCAGTCGTCGCGGTTGTGCCACCTCAGGTCGTAGTAGAAATTGATCTCGTGGTCCACGGACGACGTAAACGTGCTGTTCGCGAGGGCGACCTCGTCTGCGTCGTCGGCGCCCTGATCGGTGTAGAAAGAGCTCGCGTAGGGCGCCAAGTCCTCGACAGGGAACGCGCTGGGGTACATGTCTGCCAACGCCGCACTCCTCAACTCTGGCGTCTCGCACCGGAGGCTGGTGCTGCTGTTGGCCTCCAGCACTCTGCACTGCCTGCCGCACACGAGCACCTCGGTCTGGCCCGGGTCGAGCCCGAAGTGCTCACCCCGCAGAATCAGCTCGATCCCGCCCCTCAGCCCCGCGCGCAGGGTGCCACCCGTCAGCCGCCTCTCGGGCCCGCTGACTGGCAGCACGGCGCCCTGGATCTCGACCTCTGGGGGCGCAAGAAACTTCGGGGATGGACAGACCTCCCTTTAGTAAAACGTGGTTTAGTGAAATCGACCTGAGGCCCAAACCTGGCAGGCGCAAGCCTGGAAAATAACGGCCGCGGCGCCTTCTCGAGAACCGAAAACGGACAATTCACTAATCGACGTGTCACTGTTGGGGGTTCTGTCCGCCCCCGAAAACTGGCGACGCCGCGCCTCCCCGGACCTGTCCGGGAGGGAGGCCCGACGAGAACCTCGAGGCAGCTCCGGCCGTGGCGGCGCGCGCCTCCCATGAAGGCCAGAGACGGCGAAAGCGGGGCCACGGCAGGGACATTGGTGCCCTCCTCCCCGGAGACGGGGGGGGGGGGGGGGGCAGAGTCCGAGAGAGAGAGAGAGAGAGGCAGGCCGTCGAGACCTCGGAGACGGTGGGCGCCAGCCGCAACAGCTCCGGTGCCGCGGAGGACAGGCCGGCGGCCGGGTGCCACAGGCGCACGCTCCAGGCGCCGGCCGGCACGTGCCGGGCGACGCACCGCACGCTGCCGTCGCTCCAGGACGTGGGGGCGCACTGCACGTTCGCCTCCCGGGGGGGGGGAGGGGGGGGAGGAGGGGGGGGAGGGAGAAGGGAGGAGGGAGAAGGGAGGAGGGAGGAGGGGGGAGGGGGGAGGAGGGGGGAGGGAGGAGGGGGGAGACGATGACGGCACCCTTTTTTGCTGCGCGTTTGCTGCGCGTTGGCTCGTGTGCTGCATTGCCCTTCCCCCCCTTCCCCCCGGTCTTGATAATTGGGCGCATGGCGAAGAGGTGCCGCCCAGGGGCTCCCGACAAAATGTTGCACCACCGAGCTGTTTCGACCAGCCCGGACTGAACCCAATATCAAGATCGGCGGGCAGGGGTCGGTGCGGAAAACAACCGCTTACAGAACACCGATGCGGTGTATTGTCCGCGCCAGGTGGTGCAACACTTTGTCGCACCACCGGCAACCACCGATCCTCTCGAATAGGTGGGCGGCGGGGGCCTCGGGGGCCCAACGAGCTCCGAACCCAACCAGACCCAACCCAAGGAGTTGGCCACGCGTTCGGCAAATTCGGGACCAAACTCCCGCCGCCCGTCGGGTTGGCTGCACCGTGGGCCCGCGAGGGCAGAGTTCGGACTTCGCCGCCGATCCAGGGCGCGGCGCGCGGCCCGCTTGCGTGCGGGGCGGGCTCTCGTCGCGAGGGGCGAGCACATCCGAAACCGCGCCCTCGCAGCCTGGATTTTTGGACGCAGTCCCGCGGATACGCGGTCGCCTGGACGCGCTCCGCGCGGGGAATCCGCGAACAAAGCGCCCCGTATCCGCTAAGTCGCGGCCCAAGGGCCTGGCCCGCGAGTTCGCGGATACGGACACGGCTTTCGCCCGCGATTTCATCCGTCTCGCACGCCGCGAGCAATATTGGGGGTGGGGGCAGGCGGTTTGTCAGCTTTTGTCCTCGCTTGCGTGTGCATGACCATGCCATGCCAAGCATCGCTTCCCGCTTCGCAGTTCGTGCCCGCAACCGTCTGGGGGCGAAACACGCCTCCTTTGAGCAGGCCCCGAAGCCTGAAGCGCAGGAATCATCACTCAAATATCGAGCTCACTCCCAGGGGGACCCCCTTCTTCCCCCCCCGCTCCCTCGCGCCTTGAAAAGGTCACGACGGACGTCTGGGGCAGCGTTCGGCCCCTGGGGGCCCTCGACGGGAGAGGAGGAGGAGGAGGAGGGGGAGGAGGAGGAGGAGGAGGAGGAGGAGGTGTGGGAGGAGGAGGGGAGGAGGATGGCGGAGGAGGAGGAGGAGGGGGGGAGGAGGGGAGGAGGAGGAAGGGGGAGGAGGAGGAGGAGGAGGGAGGAGGAGGAGGCAGCAGGAGGATGAGAAGCAGGAGGGAAGAGGAGGAGGAGGAGGAGGAGGAGGAGGGAGGAGGAGTTTTTCAACATCAACCCAGAGGAGGTGAGCCGACAGAATGAAACAGCCTGGGCTGAGACAGAAGCTGTCGGCAGCGGACCAAGGCGGTGGCCGACGCGCACGACGGGCACCCCAGGGACCGAGGTCAGTCGGAGTCGTCAGACCCCGCAGACCAAACGCGAGCAGCTCCCGCCACAAGATGGGCGTCCTCGGAGAGGCGAGCCCTTACCCTGCGGAGCTGCTCATCCCTGACCCCCCCCGCCTTGGGGGGGGGAGGGGCGAAAGGTTCCCCCGCCCCCGCCGCATTGGGGGGGAGGAGGAGGAAAGAGATCCCAGGACACCAGGCGGCCCAGTCCGTCCCGCCCCCACCCCAGTGCACGCACGAGTGGACGGCGGGACGACGGGCGGGGGGGGCGGCGCGGCCGCCCGGCTGTCGGCGGCCGAGACGGCCGTAGCGGAGTGGCTGGTGTCGCCCAGCCCCGTCGAGAGACTACTACCAGACTTGGGGTGCCTGCCTTTCAAAATCTCACCCCAAGCATGCATTCTACCGTGATCGGACTTGCACTTACTGTCTGGAGGTCCAACACAAGCCTTGCCGAGCTTCCTGACTTGCCCACCGCACGTGTAGAAGCAACAGCGGGTGCAGGCGACAAGGGTGTCTCCACCCTGATTAACATCAAAGAAAATGGGCCTGTGGCCGTGGCCAATCAAACCCTGACCCGTGAGACCTTTGATAGTGGCCGCGCCACGGCACCTACCAGGAGGGGGCCTTTGGGATCCACGGGCACACCGAAAACACAAAGCGCAAATCCAAAACCTGCCTTCCCAGGACCAGGAATGAGAGGGCAGGGGAGGAGGCCTCGGGGCAGAGGGGGGCTTGGTCCTGGAGGCCTCCGAAAGATCAAGCTTCGGCCAGAGAGACATCACCCGAGCCGCCAGCCGACAAACAGCCCTCGAGACACGCGCCGCACGCACGGCACGATCCGCATCCCCTGGATCAGGGGCGGGGTGCCTCAGGGCGGCAAGGCGAGCAGCCTGGTCAGCACAATCGTTGCCAAACTTGTGGGCACGGGCCTCAGGGGTGAGACCTGGGCCGTCAGGGACGTGGCCCTTGACCTTGCTGACAGCACTGGCAATAGGGCCCAACGCCTGCAACAGAAGGCCCGCATAAGGGCGACGAAAAGACAGCCTCGCGGGGATCGGGTCTAGAGAGGCATTGACCACACTCTGGCAGTCACTATAGATGTGGCTGCCTTCGTCCCCACACTGGGAGGCCGAACAGTAAGCCGCATACTCAGCAGCTTGAGACGTTTGGGGGAAATGCGCAAGGAGGGGGCCTGAAATGACACACTGGACATCCCCTTCTTCAGAAACGCTAACCACCGACCACCCCGCCCTGGAGAGCTCTGGAGACACATTTCTAAAACAGGAGCCGTCTACATAGAGCCTACCGACGAGGTTGGTGCTGCGGTTGTTCGGGTCCCCCGTCCAAGAATGGGCCTGTTCCCTCCCGTACCACTGGGGTACCACCATCGGCCAGGAAACGCTCCATCCCGCCGCCCCTCCTGTGGCAGCGGTCACCCGGTCCCACTCGAGGACCAGGCCCGCGAACAGGCAGCGAGAGCGCTCGTCTCCCACCTCAGTGCCTGGGCAGCCTCCCGCTCCTGCCGCCATGACGAAGTCCAGCTGTGTGTCCAGGTAGAAGACCTGGGGCAGCGGGATCGGCCACTGCCAGTCTCCCACTACGAGGAAAGTGGACATGCGGTCCTCGTCCCTGTCCAGCAACGCGGTCGTCAGGGTCTCTGCGGTCTCCAGGATGTCGCTCTCCCCTGGCTCCTCTCCGAACTTCAGCCAGTCGAGTGGGTCCTCCTTCTCCACGAAGATGCGCTCGATGTCCTCCCAGGGCAGTCCCAACACGACGGACGGCTGCGGCAGGTGTCCCCAGTTCCTGTCGATGTCGTTGGTCTCGCTCAACCTCACTACCCAGGCGGTGTCGTGCACGGCGTTTTTTGCCGTGGCCGTTGACGAGCGCGTTCTGGCGCACCCGGAGGCCGGCACCGTGCGGGGGCGATTGCCACTGGAGCCCGCGGTCCGCGAAGTGCTCGTAGCCATCCGCCTCCTGTCCCTCGTCAGCAGCGAAGGCCGCCCGCCAGTCGTGCTCGACCTCGTCATCGCCATCCCAGGTGGATGGCAGGTGTGGCACGATGCGCAGCCGATGCGCCACCACCTCCTCGACTCTGCCGCCATCCTCATCCTCCCCGACTTCCACCACCTCGAAGGTCATCGCGTTGCCCGCCAGCCCGTTGCGGGCCATCGCACGCTTCCCCCCCTCGCTGAGCCGTTCCCACTGGGCCTTCCACCCCCGGGACAGTAGCCCCTGCTCGGGCCGGATCTTCTCCAGGTCGTAGAGCAGCTGGTCCTCCAGCTCCCGCTTGTAGTGGCTCAGGGCTGCGAGTGCGTACTCGCTGGCCTCCACGTCGTTGCGGGGTGCCGGGACGACCACCTCTCGAGCCCAGGTCATGCCCAGCTGGCCCTGCGGGTGCGCCTTGCCGCCCTCCGCAGTCACCAGAGCGTGGTCGAGCTCTGTGGTGCCGGCGGAGCGTCGCCAGAACCAGCGCACGGCCGACTCCCAGTCCGGCTCCACCGACAGGTCGGCGCGCGGCCTTCCGTGCCAGCAGACTGCGCCCTCGTAGCCCAGGAGGACCGACTCGGCCCACGCCATGAATGTGGGATCGTCCATGGCGGCCCGCCCCGGGCAGGCCAGGTGCACAGTGTGGTGCTGGGCAGGCCACCGGCAGCCCAGAGCTGCGGAGACCTCACCACCAATCGGCACCCCTGAGGACGCAGGGTCCCTGGCGTACACCTCGAGCCCCTGCACGTTGAAGCGCCAGCGCCTGGCGCGCCAGGGCTCCGATCGTCTCTGTGTCCGCATGCCCTGGAGCGCGTAGGCGAGCTGCCCCTTGTAGCTGCTCGCATATCCGTCGCTCAGCG